GGATTGAGCCCCTGCTCGGCGGGGAGCCTGCTTCTCCCTCTCCCACTCCCCCTGCTTGTGTTCCCTCTCTCGCTGTGTCTGTCTCTGTCAAATAAATAAATAAATAAATCTTTAAAAAAAAAAATAGGGGCGCCTGGATGGCTCAGTCCTTAAGCGTCTGCCTTCGGCTCAGGTTGTGATCCCAGGGCACTGGGATCGAGCCCCGCATTGGGCTCCCTGCTCCGCGGGAAGCCTGCTTCTTTCTCCCTCTCCCCACTCCCCCTACTTGTGTTCCCTCTCTCGCTCGCTCTGTCAAAAAATAAATTTAAAAAATCTTAAAATAAAAAATCTATTAAAAAATATTATGGACTCCGGACAAATACAAAATTTTAATATTTTGTTCATTATCATGTATCTTTTTAATGTTTCAAGTTCTATTTAAATTCCAGTTAGTTAACACTAAGAATTTAGTGATTCATCACTTTCTACAGTACCCGGTGCTCATCCCAACAAGTGCCCTCCTTAATACCCATCACCCATTTAGCCCATCTCTCCTGCCCACCTCCCCTAAGGAGTATGGATTAGTGGGGGGTAAAAAATCCTGGAAAATTGGCAAATCCTATTGACTGTTTCCATATAGATGGTTCATTCATTAAATTTCCAGATCAGATAGTGTACCACAAATGCCGTGATTTAAATCCAAGAATCAGGTTGTATTACTTTCTGTAAGTGGCTATATTAGTAGCTAATGATTAACATGCACCTGTCCTTTTATCACAACAATGCAAAATACTTAAGGAAATTCTGTCTAGCATTTTAAAAATCACTATCCTTGCTATTAAAAACATGTGTTAAGGATGTGATAAATTACCAAACCAATGACGCTTAAGAAGTGGTCATATTGTCAGAAGAGAATTGGGGTTTTAGGTTTTATCACTTAGCTTGAATAGCAGTTTTCTAAATAACACCATTTTTAGCCAGCAGTATAGGAAAGGGGGGGAAAAGGTGGAGAAACTGTGCTTTGTGACTTCTACAGCTGTCTACAGTCAACAGTGAGGAGCTTGTAGTATACTAATGACTTCTAGAGAAAACAGGCTACAACTATGGATGGAGTTAGACCATGACGAGGCTGCATCTCTTTAGCTCTTTATACTGCAATTTATACAAAAAAGAATTCTTAGGGGCGCCTGGGTGGCTCAGTCGTTAAGTGTCTACCTTCGGCTTAGGTCACGATCCCAGGGTCCTGGGATCGAGCCCCGCATCGGGCTCCCTGCTCTGCGGGAAGCCTGCTTCTCCCTCTCCCACTCCCCCTGCTTGTGTTCCCTCTTTCGCTGTGTCTCTGTCAAATAAGTAAATAAAATCTTTAAAAAAAAAAGAATTCTTAATCTTAGCCTAAAGCAGCTTTCCAAGAATATAAATTTTTTTCTAAGTGGAATCTCCAATGTGTTTTTACCATGCAAAAAAAGTAATGAGTATCCCTTTTTTGTAGAGAAAGCCTTGTTTTCTTCATGTCTTTCTAGCTTTTATCTGTGCTTTTTTGCCTTTTTTTTTGGATGAGAACAGTTTCAGTTCACTGTATAATATCGGGTGTTCTTAAGATGGCTTCTTATTGGAAATCATCTGATTTTAAAATGTTTAAATATTTCAAAGTAACTATTTAAATATACTATTCAAATATACTGATCTATTCATTCCAGATAAACCTTTTTTTTTTCCAAACTGACCACACTGAAATGAAGATACTAATTTAGCAGCATTGTACAATAGCTTAGTCACTGTCCTGTCCACTTCAGAGGCATAATAAAAGATTACTCCTTAAGACAGCAACTCTCTCATAAGAAAATGATCTGTCCCCAAAACTGTCCCGTACAGAAACTGCTATGTAGAATTTCTAGAAACCAATATTAAGTATACAAATGGATATCTTATTTCATATTAAAAAATTGCCATTTTTATGAGAGACTCTTGACTCTGGGAAACAAACGGAGAGTTGCAGAAGGGGAGGTGGGTGGGGGGATTGGGTAACTGGGTGATAGGCATTAAGGAGGGCATGTGATGTGATGGGCACTGAGTGTTATATGCAACTGATGAATCATTGAACACTACATCTGAAACTAATGATGTGTACTATATGTTGGCTAATTGAGGGGCGCCTGGGTGGCTTAGTTGGTTAAGCATCTGCCTTCAGTTCGGGTCATGATCCCAGAGTGCTGGGATCGAGACCCGCATTGGGTTCCCTGCTCAGCGGGGAGCCTGCTTCTTCCTCTGTCCCTCCCCCTGCTCATGATCTCTCTCTCTCACTCTGTCTCTCAAATAAATAAAATCTTAAAAAAATTTATGTTGGCTAATTGAATTTAAATTAAAAAAATTGCCATCTTTGATTGTAAAATAGCTTCAAATCATTAGATATTCACTTGAAAAGTTAATTCCAAACAAGGCTTCTAATGAATGTCATTTTCTTCTCTATAGGACTATAAGACCTACCTGGACTTTGTTCTTGCGTTAGAAAATCGAAAAGAACCTGCAGCTCTGCAGTATATTTTCAAATTACTTGATATTGAGAACAAAGGATATCTGAATGTCTTTTCACTTAATTACTTCTTTAGGGTAAGTCTCATTTGTGTAAATGAGTCATTGTTCCTTAAGATACACTATTTGATTTAAATTACCTACTTGGTAACAATTTTATCTAATTTGTGATGTTTAAATATAACAAAAAGGTTTACTAACAGATTTTATTATTAATATTTTTTTAAGTAGCTCCATGCCTAACATGGAGCCCAACATGGGGCTTGAACTCACAACCCTGAGATTGAAACCTGAGCTGAAATCAAGAGTCGGACATTTAATTAACCGACTGAGCCACCCAGACACCCCAATTTGCTAACAGATTTTAGAAGAAATCAAGTCTCCTTTTAGTTTTGTTTTTTTCTATTTTTAAAAAATATAGACTAAATCAAAGCTGATTTGATTAGTTGTAGGACATCAAAGTGTATAAATATGTGTCAGGGGCTATACTGGCCAATGGAGATACAGACATACATGAGAAATTCTGTGCTTTGGTGATCATAAACTAGTGTGTAAAATCCTTCAGAAGCTTCAGTTAAACAGTTCAGAAAAGGTAGAAGTTTTGCAGACTTTGGTAGTAGTAGATTCTTTTAAATGCTGTGCTGTAAAAAATAAAAATTATTTTAATAATTTTAAAATTATTGTATGCTGCATTTCAGCATGAAAATAGATTTGCTGAAATGCTTATTTTGTGCCGTTTAGTGGTCTCAGAGAATAACATGATGAGTTCTGAGAAGGGAAATTTGATTGTACCTTATCTGATAAGCATTCAGATGCACAAGGTGTAAAAATAGGAATGTCTGCCCTTTTTAAGACAAATCATTCCTAAATTTGAATGGTGACTTTTCTATCTGGTGGAATAGTTGTGTACAGTAGTACTTCTGTTACTTTATTTCTATAGCTAGTTTTTAGAAGACTGTGTGATTTTTATATGGTTAAGACAACAGTAAGAAGAAATGGCTTTTTATAAATAAAAATGAAATTTTCACATCTTTGTCATAAAACATTTTTCCCCAGAGGCTTTTCCTTTTCCATTTAAAATTCTGTGATACTTCAAAAATAACTATTTGGTTTCTGAGTTTCATAGTATGTAAAATTTATAGTTTCAGTGTTAAATTCCCTAAAACTTCCATAATGATTTCCTAGGTAGTAATGACTACAAATATTAGGATAAATTACAATCGCAGTATTAGGATACATTTTTTAAAAATTGAATCCGTGGCTAATCTGAGAATATGATACCAACCCATCATAGGGATGCCCCACTTTAGGCAGACCTATTAAATGAAAATTCAGTTTTAGGAAAACAAACTAAATATTTTTGGAAATTAAACACACAACCCTTTTTTATAAAGACTTCTTTACAGTACCTTCTCTTAGAATATTTAATTTTGTTTTTAAAATATTTTATACATGCATTTTATCAAAGTATTTAGGCTTGGTTATATGGGTTAAGGTAAATACTTACTGGCGCGGAGTCCTGCAATCCTAAGCTGTTCGTAGAGTCTTTGTACATCAGTATCCCAGTGATAAAGGTCGGCCTAGATGGTGCACTCTAGATTGTATCTCCAGGTCTACTACTCTAGTGGCTGTGTGGGTACTCCGATTCTCACTTACTTCAAAGAGATTACCTATGCACACACGGACATCAGTGGCACCACATACACAGTAGGCACCTGCAACATACTTATTTGACTATTTACCAAGAATTTTAAGCTTCACATTTTCTAGTGAATGACTCTCGCCTACAATACTTATTAGTCCAACTGGATCACAGTAGTTTCTTCCGTTAGTGTTTTTTTTTGTTTTATTTTTTTGTTAAAGTTTATAAAAGAGAATTTGAGGGAGGCTTACCTCCATTTTTTTCTTTTCTGTCAAGTACAAGGCAAAGTATGCGGGGAGGCAGAGGCGGCAGATTGGGTGTCTTAAAGAATGGTGAAGGTATGAACAGCATTCCTGGAAAATGCAAGGATCAGGCATAACAATAATTGCTAGGTCATGTAAAGGCCCATCTGAGGTTGGAGACCCTTCCTGTATAGTAGCAATAATCTGTGGCCTTGTATACTTTTTTCTGGAATTCTCAATAGCAAGATATACATCTAGAAGGGTTGATGGTTACACCGATCATTAAGTTTTGCTGACTGGATGTGAAGCAAGGTCAAGAAGTTGAGAATATTGGCAAGAGTGGTTGAAATGATAAAGCTTGTGGTCTGATAGGAAAGACCATGGGACTAGAAAGGGGCCATGGGACAGGAAGGGGGGCTGTGGTATATTTTTTATTTACAGACTTATTCCTACCCCTACAGGCCATACAGGAACTAATGAAAATCCATGGACAAGATCCTGTTTCATTTCAAGATGTCAAGGTTACCTTTTCTTTTCTTTCCTTTAAGTAAGCTCTATGCCCAATGTGGGGCTTTTGAACTCTTGTGACCCTGAGATCAGGAGCCACATGCTCTACCAGCTCAGCCAGCTAGGCACCCCTTACCTTTTCTTTTAATATACATGATACCAGTTGGGACGCCTGGGTGGCTCAGTTGGTTAAGAGTCTGACACTTGGTTTTGGCTCAGGTCATGATCTCAGGGTCCTGCGATCGAGCCCACGTCGGGCTCTGTGCGGAGTTGGCTTCCCCTCCCTCCCTCCCTCTGCCCCTTCCCCTGCTCATGCACACACACTCTTAAGATAAATCTTTAAAAAAATAATATACATAATACCAGATAATCATCTGTATTAAGTGAAATTTTGTATGAAAGAAACATGACTATGAAGTACTGAACCGAATCAAGTATTTGCTATTATTTATTCTGAACCAATTGAGACCACACTTGGACTAATAATTTGTGTAGTTTATGATTTTAGCATTGTCAGATTGTATTTTCATTGGAAGCATTAATTTTGATTGAAAATGAAGAGAATCAATATAGCCTGCAATCCTTTGGCAGCCATTCCAGTGTAAAATGAATTTTTAATCTTGGTAACTACAGTTGACCCTTGAACAACACAGGAGTTAGGGGCAATGCCCCTCCCCCATGCAACTGAAAATCCATGTAGAACTTTTGACTCCCCCCAAAACTTAACTACTCATAGCCTACTGTTGACTGGAAGCCTCACATAAACAGTAACATAGCTAACACATATTTTGTATATGTTTTACATACTATATTCTTAAAAATGGAGCTAGAGAAAAAATGTGACTGAGAAAGTCATCAGAAAAGGAAATGCATTTACAGTATACTGTATTTATCAAAAATATCCATGTCTAAGTGGACTCATGCATTTCAGACCTGTGTTCAAGGGTCAACTATATTTAGGTTTGGGCACTTTTTAAATCTGCTCCTTCAAAGGTCTTACTTGCTTTTGTATTATTAAGGAGCCATCAGTCCTACAATATGAAAACTACCACTATCTGAAACACATGCTAATGCTTCATTTTTGCAGTCACCAGCTGTGAAAAACCTATAGTACCTAGTACAGATTCAGGTTCAGGTTAAGTAACGTAATGGAAGAACCCATCCAATTTTAATTAAGTGTAAGATAAAGGCCAATTTCGTTTAATATAAATGAGACAAATCTGAAACTATTCAACAGGCAACCTAAGAACTAGTAATTTTAAGTTGCCACTAACCTAGAAAAGGAAGTTTCATAAACATACAAGACTAAAAGCTCGTACATTTCATTTACCTGAATTTTTTTTTAAAGATTTCATTTATTATTTGAGAGAGAGAGATTGAGAGAACGAGTGGGAGGAGGGGCAGAGGGAAAAGCAGACTCCCTGTGGAGCAGGGAGCCCGATGCGGGACTCGATCCCAGGACCCAGGGATCATGACCTGAGCTGAAGGCAGACACTTAACCAACTGAGCCACCCAGGCACCCTTAAAGATTTTATTTATTTATGGAGAGAGAGAGAGCATGTGTACACAAGCAGGGGGAAGGAGAGGGACAAGCAGACTGCACCAAGCACGGAGCTCGAGCTCACAACCCTGAGATCATGACCTGAGCTGAAATCAAGTCGGATGCCCAACCAATTGAGCCACTCAGGCACCCGGAATTGTTCTGATCTTTTTAAAATGTAATTTGCCTCCTTAAATGCCACTGGATCCTCTGAGTAATTTTACTACAAAAAGATTAGAAAACATGTATCTAATTCCTTGTAAATACTCATACAGTATACCTCATAATATAGAAGTATTTCCATCTATTCTAGTAAATTTTAGCACAATTTCATTGTCATTCTGGATGACTAATTCTTTAAAACTGAACCTCCCCCACCCACCACCCATCTTAGATCCAGAGTATAAAAGGTTGACATCTATATTGGAAATGAAGCTTTGTCATTATCTTGGCTTTGGAAGCACTTATGTTTTTAGTTGGAGCTGAGTTTGCACTTAAAGCAAGACCTTACATTACCACCAATTAGAAGACAATAGAAAAGTTTAAGATACTCAACACGTATTCAAAGAATACTGCATTAGTTTTGCCACTAATCAGCTATGTAGTTTGGATTAGATTAAACTCTGAGCCTGTTTCTTTCTCTTTTAAGATGAGGGAGAGTGGGGCACCTGGGTGGCTCAATCACTTAGGCATCTGCCTTCGGCTCAGGTCACATGATCCCAGGATCCTAGGATCAGGTTCCGTGTCGGGCTTCCTGCTCCATAGGGAGTCTGCTTCTCCCTCTCCCTCTGCCTGCTGCTCCCCCTGCTTGTGCTCTCCCCCCCACCCCCGCTCTGTCAAAATAATAAATAAAATCTTAAAAAAAAAAAAAAAAGGATGAGGGATAGCTATCACATATCTAAGGAATCTTCCAGTAAAATTCTATGATTGTACATAGAGAAAAGGAGGTTGCCTGTGTGTGAACTGGAAAAGAAAAAACTAGAACAAAAATTTTACATAAGCTCAAGTGCCAGCCTGGAATTTCACAGCACTTGTATAATAGAAATTTAGTGGATCAGATCCCAGATTTCATTGTGTTTTTCTCTCTCTCGCAGGATGAAATCTTTGACATGGTTAAACCAAAGGATCCTTTGAAAATCTCTCTTCAGGATTTAATCAACAGTAATCAAGGAGACACAGTCACCACCATTCTAATCGATCTGAATGGCTTCTGGACTTATGAGAACAGAGAAGCTCTTGTTGCAAATGACAATGAAAACTCTGCAGACCTTGACGATACATGATCTCTCAAAAGACTAGACTGTGTTCATTAAGATAAGCTTGAATGCTGCACGCAAAACCTTTCAAGCACAATCCTTAGAAACAGCCTAAATAAAACACTTTATATGCCTACAGAATACAGCAAATGTTCTGATTATTGGACTCTTGGTTGCAGTAGTTTGGAAGCAGTAGGACCAAATGTTGTTTTAGGAGATATTAAATTCTTGTTCCACTTAGCTCAAATATGGCAAGTGTGATTTGGTAAAGGTAGGAATCCGCTTTAAATCTATATAATCTTTGGAAATAAAGGAAGTTTTCATGGGATATTTCTGACATTAGACATTAAGAATTTAAATATTTGAGGGATAGCTTATATGTGGTCATTTAACCTTGAGTCCTCTAAAGTATTATCTGTATCATAGATTATAAACTTCCCATTCATTAGAATAGAGCCATTTCATTTCTGGGTTAGAAGTGTTTGGAGATGATGTTTCTTTTTATAGGATGTTTCAGTAAAAAGTATTCAAGTTACTATTTCACTTTAATTAAAATCACTGGTATAAAAAAAATCTATCTAGCTTTATTAACTGGTACTAGGGTCACATTTTCTAAAATTCAACTCCATTTTGTTAAGGATTTTTGTTAGAGAATTTGTTAATTCAAGTTCTCAATTATACTGTTCTGTTTCGGTTTTTTATGAGAAGAAAAATTAGAAGAGGGTAAAATATCATGAACTATGATCCAGGGGGAATAGTAATTATAAAAAGGGTCGAAAAGGAAGGAAAAGTAAAAGAGGCTTCAAAATAAGACAAAACCATTTAATTCATTTTTGGGAAATTTTATAGTTTGCATAAAGTATAAAGATTTAAGGCACAGTGAATAACTATATAAACATTTCAAACTGGCCACTGTTGGACAATTAGAGAAAGTGAAATTTAAGAAACAAAACTTTCATAATCTTCCTTCTACAATCAGAAAAGTTTCTAGGTAAGCTTTCAGATCTAGTGCCTCTAGGGAGAAAAGATTCAGATCATCATTAGATATGCATGCCTTCCCTGGATAACCCAATAAATATCTGAGTTGGAGGTCCTATCTCAAATGAAATTAAAAACAAATTAGAGGGAAGAGGTCGGGTTAGCATGTTTTAGAGCTACTGGTAAACTATAATTTAGGGTGACATTAATTACATGATCTGAAGATTAATCCTTTAAGTACTAAATTAAAGAGTTTACAACCATAACCAAAAATCACCATCACATACCATGAATAACTACCATATGACAAATCCATGTAACTGAAGATTCCGAGTGAAAAATTATCTTTTCCAAATCCTTCAAATTTCATTTGAAGAACTTAGTGGCCAGATGTTCATACTGATAACAGATTTCCATAACAGCTCCGCTGTACCTATGTTAGGAGTTTCTTTGAAGCCGTATTTTATATAAAAATACTTAAGATTGACAGCTTAATGCTGTTTAGAACGATTAATCTGTGAAAGCTCTAAGTCTGTGAATAGGCTTTTAAGAGCAGCATTTCTGAAATACTCCGTACATTCTTCCTTAACCACATTTAGTTTAATCAAAATCATACAGAGCTCTCATAAGATTATGAGCGCATATTTACGAGTATTTTCAAAATTAGTTTCATATTATACTTGGGTAAATGTTGCCAATAGCACAGTGGGCTCCAGAGAGCTGACCAAACCCGGGTTAAGTAAACTGTCCACTTTACCGTTGTTAACTTCAAAGAAGAGAATGACTGCTGACTTCACTATGCTACCGGGGCACCTTGTACGATATTCAACAGTAAGCCTCTGAAGGCTCCAGTCTTCATCTGCCCCTCAGCCCACCCTCCTCCCTCCAACTACTTGGCCCACAGGAAACACTCAGGGCCCAGAGTGACAAAACCAGGATGCCATGTGGATAATCACTAGATGTTACCCCTTGAATACAAATACATTAATAAATACATCCCATAACTAGTGTTTTTAATGTTATGTTCAAAGCTAGTTATTTAATTTGAATAACTGCTGAAAAAGAATGTAAGATTAAGTAACCTGCATTAAAAAATGGAAACCCATCTTAGAATTGGTGTTGTTATCAACTTAACCAGCTTTTCATAAAATATTCTCAAGGAAAGAAAAATCAAAGTGCTTTTGTCTTGCTCCTTTTATTACACACTCAGTGAACCATCCTTAGTATGAAATTAATGTAATGGTTAGATATATAAATGTAAAACAACATGAGAAAATCTAAGGGGGGAAAATCCTCATTTTAATCTGAGACTAGGAAGATCAGCTCCAATTAGTCTTAGTAATTTAACTATTTTTTTCTTAAAACACCAATAACAGACAAGCTTGATAATTTAACGCTTAATTGGCAATTAGGGCTCTAGAATGTCCTTAATTTCTTTAAAGAACATTTTAAAACCAAAGCACTAATGTGACACACAGTAAAAGCACAGTACAAATATCAAATTTCAGATCTGGCTTTTGCTAGATAGAGCCTAAGAATGAAGAAACATTTTTCCCTTTCCAGATAATAATTTAAAATATAAATAATTGTATTAAGTCCCACTGAATAAAGAATGTGAAAGTTCCTGGTATTACAAAAACCCTAAAGTTTGAAGTTTGATAGTCATTCTATGGCGGGACAGAGACTGGATTTTGTTTGCTTTCCATAATTATTTCACAGTCTCCCTCCATTTCAAAATTGAGATTCACAAATGAACTGGATACCACTGTTTCTGGTTGATCCCTCTGGACAATGGAATCAGCCTGCAGTTTATTCTGCTGGTATTGTCTTTCTGCTTCTTCAGGCATCCTGTTTTCTTCTTCTTCTTCTTCTTCCTAAAAAGAGGAAATAATCAAGAATAGATAAAATATAAATGCCCCAAAGGAATAGTATTTGTTTCCCACTTTTCAACTGCTTGTGCCTCCTTTTTTTTTTTTAACTAAAACATGAGTGTCATGTCCAATTCAGTTTGGTCTAATTAAGACAAGACATACCTCCTTGTCCCCTGTTCCCAAACTAAAATGGAAACTATCATATGACATTTTAAGGAAAGGGAAGTTATTTTTAAAGCATGGTACAGCACTGCTTAGATGAGTCCTGAATTAACTTTGACAAAGGCTGTATCTTTTCAGATCAATTCTAATCTAAATAAAAAACAGCTAAATACTGTATCACTTCAATTATAGGTTAGCAGCCTATTCAGCAGAATGGGGTGGTCTATTCACTAAACGGCATAACATGGTTATTGTTCCCCTAAGCAGCTAGTATACAGATAATTTCTAGTTCCAGAACTACTGCATTCACGGAGGAAGTGGCAATTGTATTGGTCAACGCAGTATTGGTAGTTTGTAGTACAGACTTACAGTACAGGTTACAGTAACCTGTCAAGAAGATTAATTTAGAGCTTGCTTGAGAGACAACAAGAAAAACATGGAGGAGTCATTTACAATGGTCCAGATTAGGTAATGAGGCTCTAAACATGGCTGGAAGTGTTAAAAACACTCATTTGTTCAGAAACCATTTTTGAAACCATGTAACAAATATAAAGTCAGCTGCCTTTTCCAGATTTGTGTCCAGCCACTCTCCCGTTGCACTCTGCTCCAGTGACAAAGCACCATTCCTGCCACTGCTCCAAATACACAACTGAGCCTCAGGCCCCTACATTCTAGCTTTAGCCGAATTCCCCCTCCATTTGCTTGAAGGATAATAGAAGATTTTAATATTTATTTCATGCTCACCAATATAACACTGGGTGCTGTCCTAAGCATTTTCTATATCAACTCATTTAATCCTCAGAGCAACCCTGAACATAGATGCCACACTTTTCCTCATTATAAAGATGAAGAAACTGAGGCTTACAAAGGTTAAGTATCTTGCCCAAGGGTGGCAAAGTTAGAAGTGGCAGAGTCAGAATTTGAATTCGGACCCTTTGGTTCTTCAGCCTATGCTCTTAAGAGCTAAACTTTTCTTATTCCTTGAGGCTAAATTCATTTCACCCCAACCCTAAGACCTCACTACATTTGCAGACAAAATTGCCTCACCTCCTTGTGCCTTAACACCTGGCACTTACACATTTCTAGTACTTGTAATTTTCTGTGCTTCAAATCCTCCACTTCTCCTACTACAGTCTACAGGTTCTAAGTACAGAGACTGTCTTATTTCCTCATCTGAAAACTGGAATAATAATCCAAAGAGAGATGTATGAAGATTAAATAAGAAACATTTATAAGGCACCTCACATAACACCCAGCACAATGAAATCTAGCTTAGTCTCACACAAAGATCCTAGGGAAATTTCAATGTTAAAAAATAAGTATATAAATTAAAAATATCTAACTTGATTAATTAGTAACTCTAGAATGAAATGCCTACCCTAAGGGAGCTCTCTTTTGGGTGGCTAGAGAGGATATATATGCTCATTACACAACCCATGAAGTCCACAGTAAACCAAACTGAATCAAAAAAATGTAAAAAGGAGACACACCTCCTTTTTCATCCGGTAATACTCATCAATGGCATATTGGTATTTTGGGGTGCTGATGCCCAAAACAGATGCAATCTTCTCTCCAAGAAAGTCACACACTAAAGATACAAAAGTTAAATGGCAAAAAACAAACAAAAAAAACACAAAAGTTAATGGCTTATACAATTCCATAAACACTTCTTGAGCACCTTCTATGTGCAAGGCATTGTAAGAATACAAAAGATTATGAACACTCAATACATCTCTTCTGTGTCTTCCTTGATTTCCTCAAGAGGCACTAGTGGCTCCTTCTGGGTTCCCAACAACACTCTGCTCATACCTCCAATTATACATGTATCACCATGTATTATAATTATCTATTACATGTCTATTTTTCAAGAAAAACAGATACTCTTAGAGGGCTGGGACATCATTAGGCTATGGGGGAGTAACGGCTTGCACTGTAACATTCCCTGAGTGCCTGCCACATGGCAGGCACTGTGAAAGGTTAGACTCAGAGAGGCTGATGAAGGATCCAAAATGTAATCCAGGTCTGAAAGTAAAGCTTTTCCTTACACCACACTGTCTAGTAATACTGAGTGCTCAGTAAATGTTTCTTGAATGAATTACTATTCAAAATTACCTCTAATAAAAAGCAAAAAATGATAGAAGTCCTAAGTTGATAATTCATTTCCTTCAAATCTGACTTAGTTTATAGCTCAACTTAAGATACGAAATATTAATGAAATTAAAAATAAATGAATTATATAATACAGGCTCTAGAACAGTCAGAGTAAGAATAGTATCAGTAAGAAACCATATAACAAAATAGCAAAACAGTTGCTAACAGAGAAGGTTCAAAAACATAAAAATTAATATAAAATAAATTAATAAAGCCATTTTTCAGTTCTCTAAAAAAAACCCACAATTTGAAACTGAAGAATGTTTTAAAGTGAAGTACAAGTTAGATTAATATCTTCCAACGCTAGCTAGCTGCTGAGAACAGAGTGATTAATTCACTATTGTTTCCCCTTCACTTTGGAAACACCCCATTTGGTAAAGTTCTTGTTCTTGGAGCATATTATAGTAGTTATACAATATTCAAATAGAAAAGTAATACCTGAAAGGGTTGACGTGGCAGCTCGAAGCATGTAAAACCATAAGTAGGGGCCCCAGGTGAGTTTTGTCTGCAACAAAAAGTCAGGTTAGCAACCTTCATACCTAAACCCATTCTGTATATTTAGGCCAGAATGAAGTAATCAAATATTTGGTTGGCACACAGAATATTCTATAGATAGCATTACAGACTACAATCTAATTAAACATTTAAAGCTCTACAGACAGAATTCTACAAAGACATTTTATATTTACCCATATAACTACCACCACCCTAAGCCTGTGGAATAACCAAAGAAAGTAGCAGCCACTAAAATGGAGTTGGTAAGTCATAGTCTTATTTATGAATTGACAATCTAGAGCCTCTGCTCCTGTCCTGCTGCTTTTTTTGTCTTCACTGTTCATAAGCACATCAGAGATAGAATGCAGTAAATACAAAGGGACCTTAAGAAATCATACAGTACAACATACTTAGAGTACAGTAAGGAAATTAAGATTCAGAGAAAGTAAGCAGGATAAGTAAGAGCACATCAAATGAACTTTCAATGATGGGAAAATAAGTGACCAGTAAGTGGCAACGTGAGCTCTTTTGTTTCTTTAAGGATTAAGAAGGGCCCAGGGGTGCCTGGGTGACTCATTCGGTTAAGCGTCCGCCTTCGGCTCAGGTCATGATCCCAGGGTCCTGGGATCGAGTCCCGCATCAGGCTCCCTGCTCAGCAGGGAGCCTGCTTCTCCCTCTCCATCTGCGGGCCACTTCTGCCTACTTGTGCTCGCTCTCTCTCTAACAAATAAATAAAATCTTAAAAAAAAAAAAAAAAGGATTAAGAAAGGCCTAGACCATATAACCCAAGACAAGCTCAGTGTATATTTAGTAAAGTAGGACCAATGGCAGAAGGCAATCTACACTGCACAATTCCGTTGTTAATCTTGGTGCTGTCATTCCCATTGAACACTTCTGTGAAGCTTGCCACACAGACAACAGTTTGCTTCTGTGGATGAAATCAGTAATATAAGCATGCTTCATCGTACTAATACTTCTGTTTACCAAAAGAAAGTATAGTATAGAATAGTCGCTCAAATAACAATAATTATTATTAATATTATTTTAATATTGTTTCCAGGAAGGAGAAAAACAATGAAATTATACATAATCTTCTTAGCTAAGATATATATTCATGATTATAAGGTATTAAAACAGCAGACACAAGAATATCTGTAAGTCTGGGTAGATGGGCTAAAGAGAAATGGGGGAAACACACAACAGTCTTCTCTTGAAAAGCAGGTATGCAGATTTCTGTGATAATATTCTTGAAAAGACACAGAAGTGAGTTAGCTCTTTTATCTCTATTTACACAAGAATGAGTGTCCAAGCAAACAAATACATTCAACTAAAAAAATACTGTATACTTAGGACTCTCTCAATCAAATCTACTGTACCTTCTATATTCAGAGCTGGAAGCATTTCTCTTACTTGGGGATAAGGGTTATTTTAGGGACTCTGTTTAAGATGCTCTCATCTTAGTGTTTACCTTACAGTTTTTATAGCAAATGGGACAGTGCAGTAATATAGGGAATGGAACCAGTCTCTGTAACACATGATAACGACAGGGCCAAGAAACTACTTAGAAAAGGATTAAGCAGGTTTTTGAAGGAAAGCATATATTTCCCAGTGGACCAATTCTCCTGTGGTTGTTTCTAGAGAGAACAATTGCTAATATCCATGCAGTGACTACCGAAGAGTCAAACCTGCTCCAGAGCTGAGGAACTGGATAAGGATCCCTGAATAACATCTATCACTATCACACACAATTACACAGAATGAATGTATGGGGCTCTTGTTTAGGCGCTGATCTTACTGAATCAAAAGGACAGATGACTCAAGAGCCTGGAACCTTGCCACCACTGCCAGCATCACTACCACCCCCGTCACCCCAGTGATAAGAGAAACGGGCCAGATCTTGGTCTTCAAGACTTCCAGTTTATGGTGCAAACTCAAGCTGATTCATTTTTTTCTCCAAAAATTTAAGTATCCATCTCTTCCTGAATAATTGAGTATCCACCTCTTCCTTAACAAGAACTATTCAGACTTGCTATCTTTTTTTGTTTTTAAACATTTTTTTAAAGATTTTATTTATTTATTTGACAGAGACACCGCGAGAGAGGGAACACGAGCAGGGGGAGTGGGAGAGGGAGAAGCAGGCTCCCCGCTGAGCAGGGAGCCCGATGCGGGCCTCGATCCCAGGACCCTGGGATCATGACCCGAGCCGTAGGCAGACGCTTAATGACTGAGCCACCCAAGTGCCCCATCTTATTTTTATATTACAAAAGTAATGCTTATTTTTTATAGAACACTTAGAAAATGGAGCAAAGTATAAAGAAAATCTAAGTCACCCATTTTTCCACCACCTGTAGATAATTATCACTAACATTTTAGTATATTTTCCCAGTCTTTTCCTGAGCACGTATGTTTTTACAACATTGCTGTGTTTTCTCTATCCTGTTGTTTTCCCCATTTACAATACTGGTATTTAACCAAAAGGACTGAAATCAGGACCTCAAAGAGATATTTCCACTCCATCTTCACTGTAGCATTCTTCCTAATAGCCAAGAGGTAGAAACAGCCTAAATGTCCACTGATGAATGAATGGATAAAGAATATGTGATAATATATATAATGGAAAATTCAGCCTTAAAAAAAGAAGGGGATCCTGGGGCGCCTGGGTGGCTCAGTCATTAAGCGTCTGCCTTCGGCTCAGGTCATGATCCCAGGGTCCTGGGATCGAGCCCCACATCGGGCTCCCTGTTCCGCGGGAAGCCTGCTTCTCTCTCTCCCAACCCCCCACTTGTGTTCCCTCGCTAGCTGTGTCTCTGTCAAATAAATAAATAAAATGTTTAAAAAAAAAAAAAAAAGAAGGGGATCCTACCATATACAACGACATAGATGAACCTTGAAGACATTATGCTAGTAAAATAAGCCAGTCACAGAAAGACAAATACTGCATGACAGAACATCAATCGGCATTTCTGATCTTGCCCACAAGCCACCTATTACTGAGCCTAAGTTTCAGGTGAGTGCAGTTGACAGGTGGGAGCTCCCTTCTTCTGTCAGCCCATTTATGGAATGGAGGCTTTACCATGGGCATGGTGCCACTGAGAATCCCAGGGCACTGACAGCCTCTGTTCATGAGGCAGTGAAAAAAACCAGAAAGATCTAAGGCTACTGCTTCCCACCTTCACCAAGCACTCAGCTCCTAAAGTAGGGCTGTCACTCAGGAATGCAACACTGTCCCTAGCCCCAACTTCAGAGCTCTGGCTAAGAGGTTTTGCCCAGGAGGAAAAGTAGGCCATAAAACAGATAGCTCCTAATTTCTTCCCAAATGAAATGACTTCATTTGCAACAGAGCTGGAAACGTCCAAGCCCAAAGGGTGCTCTTAAAATCAGTGGAGACTGTGGTGAGAGGTAATTGAGAGGAAGTTCTTAGATTCTATGAAGATGCAGGCTAAACTAAAGGCTGGGGGGGCGGGGCGGGAGAAGGCAAGGGCAGTACCCAGAGTTGTTGCAATATATTGTCTAAAATGTACAAAAAATTAAGAGACATACAAAGAAACAGAAGTATACTCTATGCACAGGGAGAAAAGCAGGCAATAGAATCTACCCGTGAGTGACTAGATGTTGGATTTAACAGAAAAAAAGTCAAAGTAACTTTTATAAGTATGTTCAAAGAACTAAGGAAACCATAATTAAAGAAATAAAGGAAGGTATAACAATGCTGCATTGAATAGAGAATATCAATAAAGAGATAAAAATTATTAACAAGGGGGGCACCTGGGTGGCTCAGTCAATTAAGCATCCGACTTGATTCGGCTCAGGTTCATGAAAGAGAGCCCCACGTTGTAGGGCTTCGCACTCAGCGGGGAGTCTGTTTCTCTCATTCTCTCTCCCTCTACCCCTACCCCCATGCTCTCCCTCTCTCCCTAAAACAAATAAATAAATCTTAAAAAA